CCATGAATTGACTTGATGCTATTGAAAGGGAACAAGTGTTGTGATCTTTGATTCTGTTGAGTTGTGTTAGGGAACAAGTGTTGAGCATTTTGTAAAACAAAGATGATTGGGCGTATTTTTGTCACATACATTTTCATGAGAGTAAGACCATAATGCGTGCCATGAATTGACTTGATGCTATTGAAAGGGAAAAAGTGTTGTGATCTTTGATTCTGTTGAGTTGCGTTAGGGAGTGGCCAAAGTCTTGTTTTTATTGTCATATAATATTTTAATACCAATTCCAAGTTGACTCAAGGCATGATAGATACATTCTCAACTATGCTACAAAAACGAGGTTAATTGGGTTGAATCTTTTTCATGATTGTTTTGATTTTTGCATTAAGTTTCACAAGGTTCTTGATTTTGATTTTTGTTTCTTTTCTTTTCTTTTCTTTATTTTATTTTCTCCAATCTAGATTTTTCTTTTTCTTTCTTGAGAACAAAAAAGGTCTAAGCTTGAGGGGATTTGTTAGGTGCAATTTGTGCACCTTTTTGCACACTTTTTAATCCCATTTCATGCATCTATTTAGCATAATTGTCCTTCATTTGTCTTGCATTTCATCATATTTCATGTTAGTCTCTAGAGCAACCTTATTTGCACATTTTCATGTCTTTTTCAAGTAAACCGGAGGTTGGAACGCGCTTTGGAAGGTGCCGGGAAGCATTGGTGAAGATTTCGGGATGATCGGACGAAGAACGAAAAAGTTGGAATAATCAAGTTTGGATTCGGATTCAGAGGGGTACACGGGCCGTGTTGGATTTACACTGCAAAATCAACACGGTCGTGTTGACCAAAATGGGAGTTGTTGACCATGCTGAACACGAGTTGTGTTAGTTTTACTCTATGTCCAACACAGGCCATGTTCGACCCATAATTGTCCCCTTCCTTTTCTTTCTACACTTAATTATATATATATATATATATATATATATATATATATATATATATATATATATATATATATATATATATATATAGTAAATAATATTGAGACTTTTTAGGAGAGGTAACCGTATAAAACTACAATACTAACATATATAAATATCCAAATATCCATTCTATTATCTTATCGATTGATAAAATTTTCAAAAAACCAACAAAAGATACCAATTTATGTTCTCGTTCTCGATGAATCACTAACCTCCACCACTGACCACTGAGGGACTGACATCGTTGCTTCCGTCTGAACCATCCTTAGTCTCTGTTTATTAAATTGGGTTAGTATTTTAGTTTTATTTATATCTGAAGTCTCTTTTTTTTTATACAAGTCTTGTAGGTTTAATTGGTTTGTTTTATGTATAATTAGAAATCACTGTATTCTTCTTCTTGCTAAATTACTATTAGACCCTACTGCTACTACTGCTATACTCTTCGTTCTTTATTAAGGATGCATTTTTCCTCTCTTTTCAAGTTGTGTTGATTATAATGATATGGACAATAATATATTTTATATATTATGACTGTACTACCATAGAAAACAAAAGCAATAAAAACTATCATATAAACTAACAGTAAAATAGGTATGGCAAAATTACTTAAATAACCCTCTTTGATTTTTATATTATAACCAAAGAGACTTAAAAAGCTATCTGACATCACAAATTCATAATTGCTTTGATTCCCCCTGTTTATAACTAAAGAAAACATAAAAAAGATACCTACCATCACAAAATCACAATTGTTTTGATTTGAACATTGATGAAAATAACTCCATATGTCCTAACAGTGATATCAAATTATTATTTAGTTTATTAGTTTGTTTAATATAGTACAAAATAAATTATATATCAATTATATTTAGAAAATATTTACTTATTAATTGTTAAATTACAAGTTTATTATGTTATTTTAGCTAGTAATTAGTTGTTTTCCATTTATCAAATTATACTTTATTATTATTATTTATTTATTATTAGTAAATATTGTTATTTAGTGAACATTAACATGAAGAATCAGTCTACTTTTGACGGGGTTTTAAAAAGAAAACACGTAAATTATTCTCAAGATCTTGAAGAACCACTGAAGAATGTTTTTAATGAAAATACCCCTACGTCCCATGTTCCTGAGAATCAATCCAAAAGAGTTCGTCTTGAACTTAATGAAGTTAATCTTGATACAATAGAACGAGATCCAGATTTACGTATTCAAATCTATGATTATCCAATTAATCAGCGAGATGTCGTTCGGCGAGCTTACATGAATTTTGGTCCTCTCCAACCAATACTTTTTGAATATCCAAAATCTTGACCAAAATCCCATAAACGTAGCTTTCAAGTGTCATGGTTTAAGTCATATCCTTGGCTTGAATATTCAGTTACTTCAGATGCCGTGTTTTGCTTCCCATGTTTTCTTTTTAACAAACCTTCCAGACTGAGATATTACGGCTAACGAGCATTTACTATAGAGGGATTTAAAAATTGGAAGAAAGTTGGTGGGAAAGCTTGTGCTTTTTTGCATCATATGGGTATCGAGTGCACATCTTTTCACAATGTTGTACAAAAAGCATGTGATGATTTGTTAAATGAGGCTCAAAATATTCAAAATATTTTTGAGAAATTTAATGATGAAGAGCGTAGGAACAATAGATTGAGATTGAAGGCTATTATTTTTTTAGTCCGTTGGTGTGACTTTCAAGCAATTGCATTTAGAGGCCATGATGAAAGTCCAAATTCCATCAACAAAGGAATTTTTCTTGAAATGTTGGAGGCAATCAGAACTTTTAAAATTAAGATGAAAGAACTATTCCACACTGCTCCTAAACATGCATTATACACATCATTGTTAATTCAAAAAGATATTTTAGACCTTATCTCAAGTAGGGTGAAACGGATGATTTGTGAGGAGATTGATGGTGGAAAATTTGTTTAATTGTTGATGAAGCACGTGATGAATCTAACAAAGAAAAAATGTCCATTGTTTTGAGATTTATAAATAAAGATGGAGTTGTTATGGAGCGTTTTTTTGGGATAGTTAATGTACCTGAGACAACATCACAAACTCTTAAGAAAAAAATATACTATGTGTTGTCACATTACAATATTGATTTCAAGTCAATTCGTGGGCAATGGTATGATGGTGCAAACAATATGCATGGTCATTTAAAAGGTTTGCAAGCATTGATTAATAATGATTGTCCATATACGTATTATGTCCACTGCGTTGTTCATCGATTGCAATTGGCATTACCGCATTAGTGCCTGCCTCACAAGGAGTTATTGGATTTTTTTTACTTGGTTATCTTTTGTTATCAATGTTGTTAGTGCTTCTTCCAAACGTACCGACCAACTAAGAGATGTACAAGCCGAGCAAAATGCATATTTTATTTCTATTGAAGAGTTAGAGACAGGCAGAGGTCTCAATCAGATTGGTACACTACAACGAGATGGGGATACTAGATGGAGTTCTCACCTTAAATCAATTTCGAGCTTAATCAAGATGTTTACTCCAATTTGTGAGGTTTTACTTAAAATTATTAATGAGGGAACTGGTTCAATCAAAGGAGATGCAGATTCAGCATATGAGACTATTACTACATTTGAGTTCATTCTTATTTTGCATCCCGAGAAAGAAATAATGGAGATCACTTATTTACTCTGTCAAGCTCTACAAAGACAAACTCATGATATTTGTAATGCATTGAGGCTAGTTGCATCCATTAAAATGTTGTTGCAAAAAATGAAAGATGAAAGATGGAGAGATTTTCTCTCTCTTGTTAAGTTATTTTGTGAGCTACGCAACATTGACATCGCTGATTTATCTTCCCTTTATTTTAGTAGAGGAGGTTGAGCTCGTAATAAGCATAGTGATCATACACTTGAACATCATTATCGTCTGGATATATTTTGCGAAACAATTAATTATCAACTAATGGAGTTAGATAGTCGATTCAATGATAGCTCGATAGACTTGCTTCAACTTTCAGCAACTTTAGATCCTAAAAATGTTCATGAGCCTTTTCGAAGTGATGATGTATGTCAATTAGGAGAGAAGTTTTATCCTGAAGATTTCAATGACCATAAGAAAGTACTTTTAAAGTTGCAACTTCAACATTACAAAGTTGATGTCGTTCAACATGCAGATTATAAACAGTTGACATCTATTTCAGAACTGTGCTAATGGTTAATAAATACTAGAAGAGTAACAAAATTTGGCATTATTTATCGAGTAGCTAGTCTCATACTTACTCTTCCGGTTTCAACTGCTACAATAGAGAGGTCATTTTCAGCAATGAGTCTTATTAAAACAAGATTACGGAATAAATGGAAGATGAGTTTCTGAACAACTCATTGGTTTTGTACTTCGAAAGTGAACTTTCTGAAAAGATTAGTTTAGAGACAATTGTGCAAGACTTTAAAGATGCAAAAGATAGAAGAGTTGCCCTTTGATAAACATTGTAAAAGTATTTAATATTTTTTTTCGATGTCATAATACTAAACCAAATGAAAGTTGTTTATATAATTTTTTTGATGTTTTGATTTCGGCCCCCCTAGTTTTACTACTCGTGTGCCGCCCCTGAACAAACACATAACATATTTCAAGTAATTCAAATTTCAAACACTTTGAGATTTTACTTCCTAGATTTTCATACAAGTAAAAAAAATGTTTTCGGACGTGTTTGACAAAATTAACTGGTAGCAGGTAGCTTGTAGAGGATAGCAGATAGCTTGTAGCTTATAACATTTTGTTAAACGTTACATGAAGTAACATTTGGATTTGAAGCATTTTGTTTAAATTAATCGATAGAAGCTTGTAGTGTCGAACGAGACTTTCTGTTCAAAACGGAACGTTTTATCAAACACTAGAAGTTAGAAACTCTCAAACGCTCCGTACCGAACACACATTCATCATAACAAAAAGACAACTACAAAACTTGTGCTTTTTAGATTCTTTTTCTTTCAAGTAATCAAATCTTAGAGATAGAGTCCAAATCAATGTAAGATACTTTCTTACAAATAATATCCGTCTTTATAGAAGAGGAAACTCTTCTCGCTTTATACGAAAACTTCGTTTTACATTCAAAAGATCGAAAAACATAGATACACACATACATCGTTTTGCATAATAAGTCGTTTTTGTCTTTAAAAAGAAATCCTACTCAAGTTATATGTGAACAACAAGTTTTACATTAGAAAATCAAAAAACATGGGCACCCAAATAGTTTTGTTATCCGATTGTTTTGTATAAAACATGGGAAGAGCCATGAATGGCAACAAGATTCTTATCAACCCCAAAGCAAAGGCATGTGTGTGAGTTGTCACCAACCACAAAGCCCACCATAACTCCGATTGGGCTACTGCGTTGACGAAAGATTTCACATTGAAAATTGAATCTGTAACCCTATTCTCAAAAATGGCAAAAGAATATCTTACCCCGAGTATTTCTCTCTCTCTCTTAGGACCTGTCGCCTCAAGATAAGAGGAGCAATCAATCGAAACGACGCTCCCTGCACAAGCCTACAAGTTTCTTCTTCTTAAACCTTCTCCCTTTCGGGATATAGGAGAGAGAAGAAGATTCTTTGTTTCTCCAATCTGGGTTTTGGAGAACAATTATCAGATACCAATACTTACATATGAGATATTAGGTTAGAGATTCGATTAATTGGTTAACTTTTTTTTGAGGAGAAAAATATAGAAAAAAAAAGATACGATGGAACACCAAAATTCAGTATCGTCAGTAACCACAACGACGACGGAGCCTTCTTACGCGACTATGGCGGTGGATCCTTTCTTGGTTGAGGCTCTCCAGAACCCTCGTCATCGTCTCTCCAGTTAGTTATTTTTTCAAATTTATTTTTCTCAATTTTGCCCTAAATTTAGATTCTGATTTCTCGATCTATTCGTTTCTTTTATAATCGGGCGTGTTAGATTTGTGTTTGTTTGTGGTTTCTCATGGCGTCAAAGTTTGATTCTTCTATCTATATGATGATTAGGGTTAGCGGAGCTGTAGATCTGGTTTTGATGCTTCCTATCGTACATAGGCATCCTGCATAATACGGATGATTACATCAATTACTGTTGTTAATAAAGTCACATACCACATCTGTTCTTAATACTATATATAACCATTGCATTCTGTACCAGATCTTTTTTCATCGGATTTTTTTTCTTAAATCAATATTTTGTTCGGAAAATTTTGTATTTTAGTGAAGTAAAATCCATCAATCGCGTTAAATTTCTTCACAAATTAATAGGAATGAAGTTCCCCAACACTTTTTAGGAAATGATATATCCTTCAAAACTCCATCTTACACATTCTTCTAATCTTCAAACTAAATTTCTTTTTTTCATTTCAGTTCTTCGAATGGAACTTGACATTCAGAAGTTCATCCAGAACAATGAACAACATCAATTCGAATTCCAACATTTCCCCTCATCCTATCTTCGCCTTGCAGCCCATCGTGTGGCCCAACACTATGGGCTTCAAACCATGGTTCTTGATAACTTCACAGATGGTCAAGGGACCCGGATTTTGGTCAAGAAACTACCCGAATCCAAACACCCTTCACCCTGTCTATCCGATATCCCAATCAAACAGTCTGAAAACGAAAAGAAAGATGTGAAAATTGTTCTAAAGCCAAGGCCAAAATCGTCTTTTGATGGGTCAAACGATCAGGGAAAGAAGTGTAATTTGGTACGTAGCGTCGAAGAAAGGAAAGAGGAGTATGATCGGGCACGTGCCCGGATTTTTAGTACTCCGGGCAGCCCTCAATCAGAAGGTACTACAGATGGAGATGATTACGAAGGTCCTAGAAGCTTCACCATTGATGGAAATGGAAATACTTCTCGTGTAGCCATTCTTAGGGACAGAGAGAAGGACTTAACTGATCCAGATTATGACAGGAGTTATGACAGGTATGTATGTACGTACTATAACTTAATGGATTAAGTCATTATAATTTTTATTTTTTATTTTTTAACATTAAAAACGTCAGGTACGTAAGGAACCTTCCTATGGGGCAAGGGGTTCAACTTGTTTCCGCCTTTGAGTCTCCCAAAGTTCCAACCGCCTCCGCCAGGTGTCCAGTATGACCCCATAATACCTCACGTGGGGCCCACACCAAACCCTCAACAACTACCTATTGGATATAGGAATTCAGCCATGAATAATCAATACGCTGTTGTTGGAATGAATCAACACATTTCAAGGGATGCTGCTGTCTACATGCAATGGCCTTCTCATTCAATGATGTATGCACACACATATGATCAGTTTAGACATGCGGTTTTTCAGGTAACTTTTACATTTTATACGTATTTTATTTTAAGATGTATTTTATTTTGATAATATGATATATAGTGGTTGATTTGGTTATTGGAATTTAATGATAACAGCAGGCACCATTTTGTCAGCAGCAGCCCTTGAGTTTTGATTACTCACAAAACCGTTAGGTTTGTTGTATTGGAGGTAAAAGGTTGAATTGGATGAAAAATCGATTTTGTTTGTGTTAGGAATTTTAATGTTGTTAATGATGGAACTTTTGTTTGTGGAATACAACCTTTATGTTCTTTTTGTTTTATGCACCTATTAAATATTAATACATTACATTACATTACTCCTGTCTAATCTTTCAGCTTCACAGCTACTGTGCCAAAATTTTGTTATTGTTTGTAGTGAAGTTTTGTGAATGTCGGTTGATTTTTATTGTGTTTGATAATGTGCCAAAATTTTGTTATCATATGATCAAATGTTACAATAACATTGTGTTGGGTCTATACGTTTTCATATGTGAATAGTGTATTTTTGCCTACTTTGATTTTTTCTGCAGTAGTTTTGGTTTTTACACTTTTGTGGCAATAAGCTTTTGCATTTTGACTTTTTGTACAGTAGTTTTGTCTTTTAGACTTTTGACACGATGGTTTCTTATGTTGATAGGTTTGGTCCCCATATAAAAATAAAATTAAGATACAAAATTTATCCTGCAATTTACAAAAAAAGGCCCCTGCCCATTTTTTATGTTTGGATTTTGGATTTTAGCTACAATACTTTCGTATATTGGTATGTATTGTTCCTATCTTACACAAATTTTATAGATCACGTCCCTAGCAAAGCAAACATAAATATACTTCCAACCCACTTCTCTTGTGAAGCGGCAAGCGAGTAAACTCTAGTTCAAACCATGATATTTGGATTCGTGGTCTTTTTGAGTTAGTTTCATTGCGTTTATAGTTTCCTATGAATAGTGAAATGATTGTAATACCTTTAGGGTATTTATTTTCCATTTTTCTTTCATTTCTTTTAAATCTAATACTAATTTATTTATTTTAATAATTAAAAAAAAAATAACAAGGAGCTCTCTCTCTCTCTCTCTCTCTCTCTCTCTCTCTCTCTCTCTCTCTCTCTCTCTCTCTCTCTCTCTCTCTCCTGAAGAATTTCATCTTCTTCGTATTCTTCATAAATCCCCAAATCAACTCCATAACTCTTATTCTTCTAGAATTAGTATTTATACATTCAAGAGGTTGTTTAGGTATAAATATTACATCAGGTAGCAGTGATTTTCGAGGGTAGTGTTCTTTATGTTATTGAAGGTGAAAAAGGTTAATTAAGTTCAGATTGATAGAGAAGATGATGAGTTGTTTGAAGTGTTCTGTTATGCCTGCAATTCCAAGAACTCCTTCTACTACAAATATGAAATAACAAGAATAACAAGAAGATTCAAATGATTACTAGAATGGAATACTCAAATGACAAGATAAAGATAACAATTCGAGAAGCTATCACTCTCCAATAGAATGTTCTCACAGAATACAGCTGCCCCCCCCCCCCCCCCCCACACACACACAATGACACTCAATAAATACAGAATAATCAGGCACAAATCCCCAAATTGCCCCTGAACCCCCCTAAGTGGTCCCATTTGTGCCCAGGTCCTTCGCCATCCTACTATCTGTCTGTTTCGTCTTATTCTTGCTCCTTTTGTAGGTGAACACTACAGGTGGGTACATTACATTATCCCCTCCCCAAAGATTGACCTTGTCCTCAAGGTCAAAATTGGGAAAGTTCACTTGGATATTTTCAAAGTCTTCCCATGTTGAATCGTATTCCGGTGTATCCTTCCACTTGATCAGCACTTCATTGCGTATCCCTTCATTTTCTTGTGAACTTCTTACCCCCATGACTGTTTCTGGTTCTAACTTCAGTTCCAGATCTTCCCTGAGTTGATGTGGTAGTAATGGCTCAACTGTTTGTTCCCCAATGGCCTTTTTGAGCTGAGAAACATGAAAGATGGGATGGATTTTAGCAGTTTCTGGCAATTCTAACTTATACGCCACCCTCCCAATTTGTTGAGTGATTTGGAAGGGACCATAAAACCTTGCTGCCAGTTTTTGGAAGGGTCGGGGTCCCACAGATTTCTGGCGATAGGGTTGCAATTTCAGATACACCCAATCTCCCACTGCATAGTTAACTTCACTCATCTTCTTGTCAGCCCGCCACTTCATCTTTTGCTGAGCATCTAGAAGATGGCCCTTCAGTTCATCCAAAATTGCGTCTCTTTCCAACAGTTGATCTTCCAAGGCGGATACCCCTGTTTCCCCCACTTGAATTCTGTTTACTCTCGGAGGGTCCCTGCCATACAATGCCTTAAACGGGGTGCATTTGATTGCTGTATGGAAGGCTATGTTGTGCCAAAACTCTGCCCAATGTAGCCATTGGTACCATGATTTAGGTTTTCCCCTGATGAAACAACGAAGGTATAATTCCAAGGATTTGTTGGTGATTTCAGATTGGCCATCAGATTGGGGGTGGTAGGCTGTGCTCCGACATAGAATAGTACCTTGGAGACGGAATAACTCGTTCCAAAATTTGCTCATGAAGACCTTGTCACGATCTGAGACTATAGTCACCGGAAAACCATGAAGGCGCACAACTTCCTTGACAAATACCTCTGCCACCCTTATTGCGGTGAAGGGATATTTTAGGGCTAAGAAATGTGTGTATTTAGTCAATCGGTCCACGATCACCAACACCACATCGAACCCATGAGAACATGGTAATCCTTCCACAAAGTCCATTGCTATTTCTTCTCATACTTGAGCAAGAATAAGAAGGGGTTCCAACAGTCCAGCAGGGTGAGTGGTTAGAGCCTTCTGTGTCTGACAAGTACTGCATGCTCGGACATAGTTTTGAACTCTTTTTTTCATTCCCACCCAATACCATTCCATGGCTAACCTCTGGTAAGTGCGTAATTCTCCCGAGTGGCCACCCACCACCGAATCGTGATACTCCTTAAGGAGCTTAGGAATCAATGTTGAGTTGTGAGGAATAACCAGCCTTCCTTTGTATAGGACTCGGTTGGCTGTCACCGTGAAGCCCGCATGCACCTTTCCAGATTCCATTAGGTCTTTACGCACCTGTTGGATGAAGGGATCAACCTCAATTTCCTTCCACATGTTCTCCTCTGACAGGTTCCACGAAGAGGACATCATACACAATTCAGTACTGGAAGTGAATTCCCGTGACAGAGCATCAACTACTTTGTTTGAGGCTCCCGGTTTGTAATGAATTTCAAAGTCATAACCGAGTAATTTATACATCCATTTCTGATACTCCGGTCCCACCTCTCTTTGCTCCATTAGGTACTCGAGACTCTTCTGATCTGTGCGTATGATGAAGTGTTGTCCCATTAAGTAATGTCTCCACTTCTTAACTGCTAGTACAATCGCCATCAATTCCTTCTCATAAATAGGTTTGAGCCTATTTCTAGTCCCTAGCACTTGACTGTAGAAGGCTATATGATGATTTTCCTGTGTAAGGACGGCCCCGATTCCTGCTCCCGACGCGTCCGACTCTATCACAAAGCTTTTCGTAAAATCCGGCATCGCCAATATCGGAGCCTGCATCATGGCTGTCTTGAGAGCATGAAAAGCCTTTGTAGCTTGTTCATTCCAAAAGAAGCAATCTTTTTTTAACTGATCAGTTAGTGGGGCTGCAATTGTCGCCTACCCAGCGATAAACTTTCTGTAATACCCGGTGAGTCCCAAATACCCCCGGAGATCCTTGATGCTTCTTGGTATGGGCCATGCTTTAATTACTTGTACCTTATCTTCATCAACCGATACCCCTTGGTGTGAGATGATATGCCCCAGATATGCTAATTGTTTCTTTCCAAAATCACATTTTTTTGAGTTAGCATAGAATTCGTGGTCCGTAAGAAGTTGTAAGACAACCTCCAAATGCTCTAAATGCTTGGTTTCATTGGGGCTATACACAAGGATGTCATAAAAAAAAAACTAACACGAACCTTCGCAGATACGGTTTAAATATCTCATTCATCACTGACTGGAAGGTCGTGGGAGCGTTTGTAAGCCCAAAGGGCATGACCAAAAACTCGTAATGACCTTCGTGCGTACGGAAGGCGGTTTTCGGTATGTCATCTTCCTTCATGCGTATTTGGTGATACCCCGACTTCAAGTCTAACTTGGAATAAATTCTCTACCCGTGTAGTTAATCTAATAATTCATCTATTACTGGAATGTGAAACTTGTCTTTAACTGTCACCTTGTTTAAGTTCTTGTAATCAATGCAAAACCTCCAAGAATCATCCTTTTTTTTTTAACTAGCAACACCGGGCTCGAAAACGGACTCCTTGAGGGTTGTATAACTCCATAACTTAGCATATCCTTAAGTAATCTCTCGATTTCTGACTTTTGGATGTGAGAGTATCGATACGGCCTAACTGAGATGGGTTCTGTCCCCTCCTTGAGGGTGATCGAATGTTGTTGATTCCGAGGTGGGGGAAGGCCACCCTTCCATTCGAACACCTGGTGGTACCGTTGTAATAATGGTGCTAAGAATTCGGGACAAGGAATATCATGCTGATTCTCAACTTCACTTGCAAGATGAGAAAATTGCAACAAGAATCCCCCACCTTCTGACCCAATAGTACGCATCATGGTTTTGAGGGTTACCTGGGCACAATCCAGAGATGGGTCTCCCTTGAATGTAATGGTTTTCCCATCAATGTTGAACTTCATGATGTGTGTCCTACAATTGGTGGTGACTGGTCCCAATTTCTCTAGCCATTGTATGCCCAGAATCACATCATCACTACCTAAATTCAAGGGTAGAAATTCTTCCTGGATGACCACGCCTTGTATACTCAAGGATACACTTTCACACTTCCCTTGTCCTCTCACAGACATTCCGGTACCTAATTCCACTCCGAACCCTTCTGACGGGGTCACCGGAATTTTCAATCTCTCGACCAAACCTAAGGATAGGAAGTTATGGGTGGCACCCGGGTCAATCATCACTACCACTTCTGCATTAGCCAGTTGACCCCTTAACTTGAGGGTTTTAGGGTTAGCTTTACCCAAAACTAAATTCAGACAGATTCCTAATAAACTAGCCACTTCTGGGGCTTCCGGTTCTTCCTCCAGATTTAATTCATCCCTGAGCTCCGAGTTGGGTTCGATTTCCTCTTGTATAAGGAGAACACTGAGTTCCCGACATTTGCATCTATGGCCAGTGCTCTATTTTTCGTCGCATCTGAAACACAACCCTTTTTCTTGCTTGTATTGGAGCTCCTTATCGGTTAAACGTCGGACTTCACCAAGGGGTTTTAATTGGGAGATTGGGTTTAGTGAACGAGGTGGGAAGAACGTGGTTTTGAGAGACGTGATTTTTAGATTTGAGGGGAAAAGCTTTTTAGATTCTTCTTACTTCGTCATTAATCCTTCTTGGGAATTTTTGGGGTTTTCCAAAATTAGA